ATCGTAAACAGTTAAATTTTGAGCTAATAAAATGACGATTAATGTCAAAATCCAGGTCAAAATAATTTGATAATTTTCTATTTTATTTAGAAAATAAATTAAAATTTAATTCCTAAATTAAATAGTTAATTAACTAATTATTTAATATATATATTGTGGGTCAATTAAAGAATGTCATATTTATATTTTGAAGGCCAATTAAATAATGTCAAATCTCTATTTTGAAGGTCAATTAAAGAATGTCCCACGTCATTTTTTTTTAATATGTGCTTATTATATGAGACTAGTACGGTACCCGTGCGATGCACGGGAGCATTTATTACCTATTTACTTTTTAAAAGGTATTATTGTATTAAAATTGTCTCATGACATTAAAAATATCATGGAAATGAAATGTATATGTTATTAAACACTTCCTTAAGTGTTCGAATTTTATCTAAAATTGTATATTATTAGTTATAAGTTAACAAATTTTGAAAAAATTAAACGATCTTATTTATTAGTAGAAAAAAAGTAGAAATTTTTAGGGATTTTCACCCATTATTTATTTTAAATCTAATTCTAACTTTAAATTTAAAAAAAATTGAAAAGTGTTGTTAGTTACTCCTGAAAATGAAACCGGTTTTCTTACAAATAAACCGATTTTTTTTATTAAACAAATTGGTCTGAATATTTTTTAAGCCAAATAAAAAAATCATCTATTTTTCCTAAAAATGCAACCTAATTTTCCTGACATTGCACCGATATTTTTACCAAATAAATTGAATTAAAAAATAATTCTAATAAAAAATTAAAATAATTTGTTAATGTTTATGCAACTGTCTCTTTCTTAAAGCAAATGATACGAACTTAACAAAAAAAATGATATGAACTTACTAAAATCTCGGTAAAACATGGCTAATAAAAAAAACATAAAACTCCAACATGGTTAAGAAAAAAACATAAGAATCCAAAAGAAGCGATGCATGTAAATTTTGAAAAGTTGCACACATTTTTCCTAAATAATTGGATAAGGTGACTTTAAATATAAAAAAATGAACAACTAAATTTTGCCATAAGAATCTACAAATTTGTTACCAAAAAAATATTATTCATATTTTGTTATTAAATATCCACAAGTGTTTTTTCAAAATTTCCAATAGTAGTAAGTTAAACATTATATTTATTTGGTCAAACTTTCTATTAATGTATTTTCCAACAACCTCTTTATATTGATATAGATATAGATATAGATATAGATATAGATATAGATATAGATATGAATATAGATATAGATGTCATTATGGTTTATGTGTACTTCAGTACTGGTTTCTGCGAAGCATAGTGGTTTTTTATCACGCCCCCCCCTCTTTTTTTTTTTTTAGGTGATGGAGTTCAGCGTGGTGCGTGAGCGGGCAGTGATGGTAGTCCGTCGGTCTTTTAAAAACAATTATGTTGTTATCAGTATTTGAGCATGTTATGAAAATATGTGTTAGCTTCCACATTATGAGACTATGAGATTTGGAACTATGCATGTTTATTTCCCAGTAATTCCATGATATTTATATCCTGGGGTGGTTTGGTTTGGATTGCATGTATGTTGTTCCATTATAAGCGAAAAGAAAACAATTTAAAAAAAAAAGTAAGTAAGGTAGCATCCCGCGAGTAAGTTAAAGTGTTTTAAAAAATGTTAAGCAATTTAAAAAATAAAAAGAAAAAATTTACTCTGATTTTCATAAGTCCAGTAGTATGTAGGCGGGATATTACAAGTTGGTAGTCTTCTTTTTCATGAATCTTTCTCCTAATTATCTTTTTAAATAAATATTAAAGAAATAAATATTGAAATTCATGGACAATTAAATTGAAGTCTTATTTTTCAATACTCTCTCTCCTAACACTATAAATAGAGGTCACCTAAGGTAAAAAAACCACAATTCATATTCAAGTTTAAAAGCTCTAGAAGTTCTCTAGACGAGGTTCAAGTGTTCTTGAAGATCCAAATACGTTCTGTAAGATTCAAAGAAAGATTCAAGCGCGTTCAAACTCAAGACGGACGTTCAATCCAGAAACAAATTATCAAGCCTACGAATTACATTATTAAAGTAAAGACCGACGTAGAGAAGATCGAAGATCAACTTTGCGGCGAAGACTAAGGGATCGTGTTCTGCACGTTCTTGAAAAATCACGACGTTCGATTCGAGATCAAGTTGTCAAGCTCTCGAAGAAATTTTATTTAAATCCAAATTTAAGACATGCGGAAATTCCGAAAGTCTTAAATCCATTTGAATTTTTGTAAGAAATTAATCAAATGAATAATAAAGATTTGTAACCCGTTATATTTCATTTGATCCATCGAAAATTAATTTGTGCGAAAGTCTCGTATTCATTAATTTAATAATACAAAATTTTGCATTACAGTTATCATTATAATTTTTTTAACCGCGATGACAGTGACCATCAAGAAGATAAATAAAAAAAATCCATGAATGAAACTAAAAACTATATATAAAAAAAGGATTGAAAACATAAATACTAATTATTTTTTATTTTTTTTTACGTGATTAGGGCGTAAAATTAGTTTTTCACGGATGCTATTACAAAATTTATACTCAAACTAGTATTCATCCTGTGCACATGCACAAAGAAAATAAAAATTTATATATTATATTTATGTATACAATATATACAAATTTTATATTAAATAATTGATATATTACATTTTAAATTTAGACTACATGCAAATGTGTATGTAAATATAATTTATTTAACTTACATATGAATCTTTATATTGATGCCATAAATTTTAATGGCTAAAATAATTTAGTAATTTAGAGAGATCATACAATTAATTAGTTAGAAAAGTATTACAATTATTTTTGTCATTGTTATAGCATTTGTTTATGTGATTTTAAGGTGTTTAATTATGACACTCATGCCAATTAACTTATTAGATAAAAATCGCTTACAATTTTTTACAAGTACGTAACTTCCACATACTATTTAATGTAAAGTTGTAATCAATTAGTGTTAGTAGTAAATAAATTATATTAAAATTATTATTACACCTTATTAATATAAAATGTAACGGTTCTACATTAATTGAAAAAATGAGCAGGAAAATGAATGGAGGTTTTATTAAATGTTTTATTAAATTCTATATGCCAGCAATTATATATATATAGATTCTTAAAATCAAATTTAGGAGATAATATTTTATTTAAATTTAAAATACGTTTAAAAAATTACTTTACTATATATATATATATAAAATAAAACGTTTCATTATACAATTTGCCCGACTTTGATTATAACATTTTTTTAATTCACAGGTAATGATTTTATATATGACTTTTTGACTTGATGATATATAGTTTTATTAATTTTTAACTAATATTAATATATGATTTAATTTTATAATAAAAAATTATATTTATTTTATATATGCAATATAGATATCAAAATCAAATATCATCCAAAAGTGATTATAATTAGTTTGATATATTATATATGCAAATCTAATAATAAATACAAAAGTCATGAACTTTTAAATATATTTATGAGAAATGCTACAGTCTCTTTACAGAACCATTCCTTGAAATTTGTAACCGTTAAATCATTATATAAATATCGTGGATAGTTGATCTAACAGTTACAAACCCGACGGAATCGTTCTGTAAAGAATCTCCCTTTATTTAAATTTAAGGTACAAACATTTCATAATCTTATAAATAATATATATTGAGTCCCATTTTAGCTCTGGCTCGGCTACACAGAACCAAAACAAACGAGCCATCATTTAGCTAAGAATGTCACGACTATCATCATCATCCGTACTATCCGAATCACTACCTAAATTCACACCCTTAAACCCGTAACTTCCATTAACAGGCTCAATCCCTGGTTCTAAAGACTCTTTCAGATCAGCCAGCACAAAGGACCGAGTCGTTTCCCAAAATGCCCCTGCATCCTCCCCAAGAAAACCCATCCAGAAAACCGAGCCTTTCTTCTTCACACGGCATTTCAAAAATTTCTCTTTAAGCACCCTGTGAATTCTCAAAACATCCTCCTTACCGAACCTCAGCCTCAGCAAGATATCCCCAGACGAAGTTCTGTACCCACCGTACATATACCAGTAAGCAAGCACACGTGGCGTGAGCCACCGGTTTATTAGATTCGGAATAACGGGTATTTTCCCTGGCCAAAACCGGTCTGCGTAGAATTTAAAAAATGAGTGAGTTACAGTCGTGAATTGGTACGGAATACCGTCACGAAGGTGACTGGCCCGCGCCTCACGAGCTAACCACTCGTGAAATTTGTTGTATACGTGTCTCCTCAAAACGGAATGGATTTTCGAATCCTCTCTAAATACAAAATCTATCGCGTAGTAAATCCTTTTTTTACCGTCCTCGTCGGTTTTAAACTTCAAGCCGCCTAAAATCATTCCTATAAGGATTTCTCTTTGTTCTATGCTGAGCTTCAAGACTGGTATCGATTTTTCGACTTCTTCCTGGCTCAAACTCATGACATGCTCGAGTTTCTCGTTCAGGGAAGTTTCGACGACGTATTTCTTTTCGCACATGAAATCGTGCATCAATTTTACCTTTGCGTATTGGTTGCTCGAGAGGTAGGCCCTCAATATTGCATTGCATGATCTGGCATTGATGCCGATCGCGTCATCAGCATGCATATGGTTGAAGGTTAATTCCGCCCGGTCGAGATCCCCACTGTCGACTAAAGAATCTAAGTAAAGATTGTAAGCAGTCTTATTGGGGCGGGATTTGTCGAGGAACCACAGGAATGTGGACCCCACTTTATCGGGCGAACCCGAATCGGCGTATGCAAGCATTATTTCGATAAAAGATTGCATCACGGGCCTCAAGCCGTTGTCTATAAACTCGGACATGAGGGACTCTGCTAGATCCATATTCCGAGCTCGGCAGAAAATCTCGATGATTTTGTTGTACGACGCGACAGCTGGCGGATATATTTCTCGAGATTTCCGAAATATTTCGAGGGATTTCATTGGCGAACCGATTCGGGAATAAACTTCCATCAGATATAAAAATGCCAGAATCGGGGGTTTGTTGTTCGAAGAGAAAAGAATCTTTTTCCAAATTCTATCGGCTTCTTCAAGATCACCTTCCTTAGCGCAAACTCTTAAAACCGACACGAGCACTTCTGTACTCTCTTTAATTCCCAACGATTTCATTTCGGCTCTCAGCAATGCAATTCTATCTCTGTCAATCGCGTCTTGATAACTGTGGAGCCATATAAGCCCTCCGTAAATATCGTCGTGCACTTTAAGTCTGCATGCCGTGAGGTTGTAAAAAACGAACTCTGCTTGCTCGAGATGGTTTTTACAAGAGCGCCCGGTTTTGCTCACAAGGGATCTGAAAAGAGAATTGTGCAGGCTCAGCCGAGGTTTGTATGCGCCCAAGTGGATCATTTGGTTGTACACTGTACACGCTTCTTCTATACAGTTTGAAGCGGATGAACTAAGGTAGGCAACAATAAGGATATGAAATGTGGACTCGTTAGGAATTAAACCTTGGTTAACGATATCGTCAAATATCTCACGGCATTTTGAGTATTTTCGCTCCTTACCCATGTAGTCAGCTAATCTGGAAGCAAGAGCAAAATCGAACTGAAACCAATGTTGCTGCTTCATCCATTTGTACACCTAAAAGTGTACAAACAAGTCATGGTCATGGAAGGAACATATAGTATACCAGGACTCATCAATTATAGACCACCTATAAGATCAATATGCAATAATTTCAACATATCAATCTTGACAAATTCATTTTAGAACGAGTGTATATAAAAGACCAATAAACATTGCACTAGGATAGAATGAACACACGCGCGCACACACACACACGAGTCCAACACAACATTTTTTCCTATGAAATAAAACAAACACTTCTTCACAACATGGATCTTACAGTACATTTTGAAGTTCTGAATTCCAGATTCATATAGATTCGACTTTTTAATGCTCAATAACCGGACTTCTAAGCATAAATTTTACAAAAACTACTAACTAGATAAACCACAGGAAGCTAGAAGAACTCATATGGGTGTCTAAACTTAATCATATTGTAAATAAACAATACTTTCATCAAGCAGTACAATTTCACTTAGCTACAGAGTAAATTCATAACCCTAACAACCTGTTTTTTCTTTATGTTAGTTCCAAATTATATGCAGAGGGACAAAAACTACCCCAGAAATCAACACTCAGAAAGGGGCAAAGATTTTTTTACCCTAAATGCAGCCTCGTTTTCTCGAATCCGCATGCAATGGACCGCAACATAAGTGCAATCGGGTTGTCTAATCCACTTGCGCTGCGCGCTGAGTACCCTGATAAACGTGCCCGACCTGTGCGCCGGAAGCTCCTTGCACAGCCACGCCAACCTCGACCTACGCCACTGCTCCGGAAGCTCGTCCAGCTCCCTCACCTCCACCGCCGGCGACACGAACCGCTTCGAATCGGAGAGCTCGAACGATCCGTCAAAGTTGTAATTCTCATTTTCTCCATCCCCCCCGAGCTCGAAATCGCTCTCCTCCGCCTCCTCTTTCGATACTATTGATACGGCGGCGGAAATATCGGCCGGAGACGATGACAGGAGCGGAGGTTGGAAACTCCGGCGCGGCCTCGAGGCGAGCGAGATGGTTAAGAGGCGGTGGCTGCGTGGATAGGAGCGGTGGTTACACGAAGGTGTGATTTGGTAATTGCAGTGACGGAAGCTCAGGAGCATTGCTCAGGCGGCGAGTGGGTGGGGATAAACGTCCGGCCACCGCCGTAGGGAGAGTGGTTGTTAATCCGCTGTCTAGTGTCTATCCTGACTGTGTGTTGTGTTCATCGACCGGATAAATGGGCTATGTTCGGAAAGATGATGGGCTAAATTTCTATTTGGAAATAATTGTAATTTAAATTTTAATTGAATCTTTATAAATTACATGATATTTAATTATAAAGATAAAAGATATTAGTTATTACCAAAAAAAATGCAATGTCTCCTTAAATTGCACAAATTATGGGATTTTCGATATATATTCTATATGGTAAGGTTATGTATCCTACAAATATAGGATTCTTATTTAATATAAAAAAAAATATTTTAGTAAGGTTATATTCTACAAATTAAGTTGTTGTTTCAATACAAAGTAGAATAAAAAGGAATTTAAATTTCAAACTACCTAATATTCCAAATATATACAAACTACACGATCGTGAATATTAGTCCATATTGATGAACAAACGTTGAAAAATACACAAAATCAAATATGTATTTTTTGTTTAATGATATATACTTAGCATATACTGAACATAAAACGTACACTTTGAAAGGACAAACACACATGTTGTGAACATAAACATATCATATATTGGACATAAACATATATTTTGTAAAGGGAAAAAACCACTCTGTTGTCAAACATACATTTGTTTAAATGAATGTATACATGGAATATACTGAACATAAAACATACATTTGAAATGGACAAAATAATATGTTGTAAACTTATACTTAACATATAACATATATTGAACTTATACACATATACATATTATATACTGAGACGCTAACTCGATCTCTTGTGAAGAGCAGCAGTAAGGACTTCGTCGGATTTTTGGTTATTTTGCCATGGTTTGTTTTGCTAAGGTTTGCAATTAGTCAGTAATTGATACAATAATTTTCTAGTACATCTGCAAATAAAAAACAAGACTTTCAGTTGTATTCTTTTTTGTTTTTAGTTATTAGTCAATCAAATTACTCATTTATATAAAACTGGGTTTTCCTTTTACAGACTAAGCACATAAAATGAATCACTCAACTGTACAAGAAAAAAGACTGACTAAAACCGCTCTTTTTGGTAAAAAAAAAAAAAAAAAAAAGTATTTTTACAACATACACACACCCTTGATCAACTGTATATATTCATCTATGTGAATAGAAAAATGTACATTGATGGTACAAACATGAAAGAGTAAACAAAATAATTACAAAGCCGCTAGCAAAAGGCTAACTCTTTTGTGAGCTTTTTATTAAGCATAAGTCATCGACTCTCATCTGTCGAATGCAGAGAGAAACGGAGCCCCTGGACTTGATGCTGTTGGGGTTTGTGGCCTTAGCTCAGACAATCTAATTCTCTCAGCTGATATTCGACTCTGAGCAATACATAAAAAGCAAAAGGAAGAAAAATAATAAAACACTCACCTGGATATTTATAATTTTGAAAGATAACTAGATTCCTATGTAATATCGGATAAACTGAAAGGATGTCATCTTTTTTATAAATATATATAGGGTTCAAATGCCATGAAATATGTATCAAGTGTTGTTTACCTTGAGTTTAACATCTTCAAGTTCCATTTCAAGAGAAACAACTCTATTTTTCAGCTGCATTAGTGCATCTTCAGCCACAGATAGACTTATCTCTGATGTTGGTCTTGTTATTCCAGCAGCCTGTTTATTTGTTTCACAATTAAAAAGAAAAAGTTACAACGGTGTTGGCTATTTTTTTTATTTTTTATTTTTTTTTTTTTGAATAACTAATGAGATATAAAAGTACATTTAGGAAAAGAAAAGGCCGTCTAACCTTTAGTACAGTAGTACACAAGCCTAGTAATTTTTGAGCTAACCGTAGTTTCTCCTCTTCAGTTTCCTGTTTCAGATATAACAGGAAAAGGATCTTACGCATGTTTTATGTGTGATATATTAAAATTAATATTTTGCCTCTCCTAACTAACTAACCTTTAACTTCTTGTCCAACTGTTCTTCCTCAACAACATTGATATAGGGATTTTTACCATTTGCCTTTCGGAACTGAGCCAATTCTTCCTTTACTCGCGAAAGAACAGCCTCTGTTTTCCGAAGCTTAACGCTAAGGTCTTCGTTTTGAGACCTTAATAAATTGTTTTCTTCCTGTGACAGTGAAAAAACCATATAAACCTAAGAAAACAAAACTTTGATAACAGATGCAAAGAGTTCATAAATTTAAAACAAATGTCTTGCCTTAATTTTTGCATGATGATGAATACGCTGTTGGATATTTTGTTGACCGGACAATTTTTTAACCTCGACTTCAAGATCCATCACTTTCTTCTTGTGATTAGCATTCTCCATCTGAGAAATTTTGTGAACGCACACCCAAAGATAAAGTTAAACAACAAAGATTATTTTAGGCATATGATTAAATACTATTGAAAAGCACGGTTTTTTTACCTACCTTCAACATCTCATTTTCACTTGAAAGCAGTTGTTCCTGCTGTCTTAGTTGTTCAAGCGCAATATGTGCAGCCATCATTTCAGCTTGTTTCTTCTCAATCTCTTCTAGCCATCTAAACATAGAATTTTTTCAGAACTGATTTTCATTAGCATGTAAAGCAAAAGATAGTTAACCATCGGTAAATGATTAAGCATCCATTACCCATTCCTTTCTTTAACGAACTCATGTATCTGCTGCTTCAGATTAGCTAATTCTTGCTCCTACAGAAGTAATCCACCAAAAAGCTATCAACCTAGCTTATCTTACAAAAACAAAACCATGAAAAGCTGACATGGGGGATAAATTTACCTTCACTCCAGATTCAACATTATATTGTTGAGTGTGTGCAGTTAATGACTGAAGCTTCTGATTATCCATTATATTCTAGCAATGGCAAATAAAAAATTGTAAGTGAGGCATTCTTTTTTAAGACACGCGTGTGGAGAAATGAAAAGTAGTTGAAATAAAATGGAGAGATTGTAGAGGTGTTTTTTTTCCTTCTTTTTCTTTTAGTGTACAAATACAGAACTTACAGCACAATTCTTCATATTCATTTTTACACCTAGCAATTCCCGGATCACATCATGAGTCATGCTTTCAGTGGTAGCCAGTCTTGCCTTGAGCAATAATATCTGCCAGAAAAAAACGAAGTAATTTTCAGGTGAGAGAATATTCAGAGAAGTACGCAGGCATGGTAACACTATAACTTCTATTAAAAGAGCCACCTCTTTCTGTCTGCTTGCAGCCAGAACCTCAAGTTCTTCTATCCGTTGTCTTCCAGCCGTGAGCTCCTCATCTTTCTCTGATTTAATCTGTTGTACTAAGCCCAAACCAATGCACTTAAAGGGTGAACCAGAGCCTCTGGGCTTCGAAACACTTTTTTCCAACTTTTTTGGTGATGCAGTGCTATGAGTGGCGGTTTCAGATTTTAGTTGCTCTACCATAGTTTCCAGTGCCTTAAACTGATTGTGAAAATTAGAAAAGTTGACATTTTGTTAATTGTGCTTTTAAACAAGGAAAGAAAGAAATGACATGATTCTTTTGATTTTGCCATGCTATTAACAACTAATCCCACCTTTTGTTTGTATTCACTGGCCTGGGCCTCTGCATGCAAGTTGAGCTCAGAGATATGATCGTTACATTGAGATATCTGTACACACACACACAAAATCAGATGAATCTTTGGCATGATGTGGAATAAAAAGAGAAACCATCCATTATATAATCAAAATCAAAGAGATGACTATCTAAGATAAGAAAGAAGGCAACCTCGGCATCTCTAGCAGCTATTTCTCTTTCAAGAAGTTGTACTCGCTGCAATGCTTCTGCAAGATCTTTTTCCTTCTCAACCAAACATCTAAATACAAATACTTGAATATTAGCAGTTTTTTAAGTCTAAAGGCACTTCAGCGCAAAGAAAATTGGCAAACCTTTTTAGATCAGAATCGTTGCTTTTGATATTCTGCATTTGTTCTTTGATGCCAAGAAGCTCCAGCTCAAGTTCCTCCCTCTGCAACCGTTGCCTCTCGGCTTCTCCTTTGACAATGTCAACCTTATAAAGTGGAACACGCTCACGTCAGCATTACGGGAAAAGAAGATTCGAAGCAGCTCCCCATAAAAGGTTTCAGATAGTACCTTTTGTTCGAGTACGTTTACAGTGCACTCTAGCTCTTCAATGGAACGCTCTAATAGCTTTACTTCCTCTTCTTTTTCCTCAGTGTGGGCTTTCTGCGTTTCAGCTAGCTGTAGCAATTGTTGGTAAAATAGGCCATTAAACAAAATTAAATAGAGAAAATTACAAAAGGTATGTCCCGTGAAGTATCTTTATTAAATTCCCATGAAGTATCTTTATTAAATCTATAACTACCTTAAAAGTATGAGTTATTTCTTGAAAATTTTGAATTGCCCATACTGCCCTCAAAAGATGTTACTTTAAAGGACATAAATGTAATTTGTGATTTTAAATTAGAATTGATAATTGTGATTTGTAACTCTCCAACCACATTTAAATAGAAACTTGAACGGCCAATACTATCTTTAAGAAAAATGAAATGTAACTTTTGTTTGAAAGATATAAATGTAATATTATAATTTTAAATTAAAATCACATTACAACTACACATATATTTTTTTTAATAAATGTATGTAACTCTTCCATTTCTCTTCATCATATACAATTATTTTTCATGCATATAAAATTTATATTAATCTCATCCTAACTATTATTCTTCATCATCCACAAATTAATTTATTTATTACAAGAGTACATTTATTCATCTAACTTGAAAATCCAATTATCCTCAAGAAAAAGAAACGTAACTTTTGGATATTTGTTCATTTTCATTATTTCTTTTGATTATTTTAGTATTGTGACATTATAATTATTTTTTATTTTATCATGGATGTATTTTTATTATTTATTGTGGATACTTGGCTTGTGAAATAGAGAAAAAATAGAAAAGTTAGTATGATGCTTCCACAATTTAGAAAACTTAGTATTATATATATAAAATAATAAGTATCAAGCCAAATAATAAATATTATTTTTAATTTGTAATACATGTTATTTAAAATTATCTTCATCGTGGTTTATTTCATCACTATGCCTTAAAATGTTTACTCCTATCTATCTTTATAGTTATAAAATAAATTACATGTAATTGTGAGTTTATAATTTTGAAATTCTGAAAAATGGAACTAAATTTATACCTTATATCATTCAAGTACAAATTAGTAATTCAAACTTAATGTCATACATATGATCATTTGATATGTGATAAATAATTGTAGTTGTAGTCTTTTGAAATGTATTAATCTTTTAATTAAATGAGGGCGAATGAGTTACAAATCATCATTATCAACTACAATATAATATATATTTTTAATATTAATTACAACTGAATGGTCATGAATATTCATTGTCATTTTCAAAATTTAGTAAAAGGGAAAATTAAATTTGACCTACCTAATTATCCGAAAATTTATACTTTGCCCACAAAACTTTATTTTTTTTTACATTTTGCCTACCTAACTTTGATTTTTTGTACGCTTTGCCATTTCCGAACATTGTCGGCGACACGTGGCAATAAGGCACAAAAGCCACGTATTGTTTTATGACGCCGGCGGTGACCGAAAATGGCAAAGTGTACAAAAAATCAAAGTTAGGTAGACAAAGTGTGAAAAAAAAAAGTTTTGTGAGCAAAGTGTAAATTTCCGTATAGTTAGTAGGTAAAGTGTAATTTCCCTTAATTCATTATATCATGTGTAACAAGTTAATTCATTCATAATCAATCTTTTGTAAGTAAAATTACAACTTTTATGTAATAAACAATCTAACTATTTTTTAGTTTAATCAAAATTAAGCCAAATAACATGTGGGGTTTTAAATCCCTATAATAATTGAAATGGATTAAAGTTCATTTTTCAAATAACTATCTTAAAAGTGACTTGTTTCTTGAAAAAATTGAATTGCCAGTCATACGCTATAATTCTAAGGCAAATAATGTAATTTTGTCACAACTGTTACAGAGTTATAAATATTAATAGTTACAATCATTTTTTCAATCAATTATTTTTCATTCTACTTTACTTTATTATTTGTTTTATCTATGATCTTTTATTATATTTTTTACGTATTCAATAATTTAATTTCTTATAGTTGATATAAAGATGTTAAGATTATCTAAACAAATATGTAAGTTAAAAATAAAAAAAAAGAATAAAAATTAAGGAAAATGTATTTTTTAAATGTAAGGAAAATATTATTTTTAAGATTTTTTAAATAAAATATGTTTAATTTCACAAGTGTACAATATATAATGCACCAATGAAAATATCATCTCTAATTTCTAAATATCATATTTTTTACTATAAATTTTTTTTGGATATAGTATAGTATTAAAAAATAGAAAATGAATAATTTAGTGGATATGCATATGTTTAAGAATGATTGAATGTAAAAATTCTTCAACATATACAAAAAGTTAGATTTTTGTGGAAAAATTTATTTGTTAGGTGAAAATATATAGTCTTAATAAAATTATTTTGTTCAAATTATTCACTAAAACAGTATGCATAATACGATTTAAGTTTACCTGCTAATAATATTTTCAAATCATTTCCTTTATAAAAATATTAACAAATATATAAAATAATATTAAGATAAAAGTAAATATGAAAGAATCATTGTTTTATAATTAATTTAAAATAGAATTATTTAATTATCACTATTAGGATATTCTTGAAAATCTGAAAATGATAATGAATGCACGACAGTGTTAGGAGATGCAACAACAATTTATTTTAATTTGAACAATATATATATATAGGTTCCTTCAATCATTGGGCCAATGTTACGACAATGTATATAGATAGATAAGTACCTTTAATTAATCAAAGATGTTATTGTTCCAAATAATTATCAAATAATTTTTTTTTTTTTTTAAATAATTACGACTTTAAAGATATTTTCAAATATTTATATCTCTGATGTCATTATATCAAGAGAGAAAATATATATCTTAATATTATAAGTGCAACATAATTGAATTTGCAACCGTATTTATGAAATAATAAAGACCAAAGCATTCAACCATAGTGTGTTAACTTACAATCAACAATAAAATGATAAGTACAAATTATAGCTATAGCAAATAAGAGTTATTTTTCAAAAGTATCACGAAAAAAAAAAGACATTAAAAAACTATATCATATTGACAATAGTAATGTCATTATTTTCGGCATAATGCCGAGATCATTAAATAATAAAATCAAAGACGACATAAGTACCTTTAGCATTTTAAATTTCACAAAAATAATATTAATTTTATTTTAGATTTCTAACTCAATATTTATTTATTTAATGTTATTTGTCATAGAGTTCGTTTAATAGTATTAAATAGTATATTGTTTTATTCAATATATTTAATATTGTTTCTTATAAAATTCACCATTTTTTTGTTAAATAATGGAAAGGAAATTAGATTCTACTATTAAATTAATCTAATAATCAAATAAATTTAAGTAAAAAAAAAAAAAAAACAATATCACGTGCGTAGCACGTGCATCTTCCTAGTTCCCATGAAGTATAAGAAAAGGTTACCTCTTGAGCTTCAGCAGCAATTGCCTCATTTTCTCCAGCAAGGTTCCTTGCCATCTCAAGCTCTCTGGTCAAAATATCAACTCTGTCTTCCAGCTCATCCCTTTGACAGGTGGCAGAAGCCAAGTTGCACTTCAATAATTCAATTGTTTTGCTCATTTGATCGAGGGCCATTTCCATTTCACCAACTTCCATCTCTAAATTCTTGATGTTGGTCCTCGTCTCGAAAAGCTCTTTCTCCATGGAATTTTTTGCTTCCAAGGCCTCTTTCACACCATCTAAAAGATCGGCATTTCTGTCGGTTAGTAAATTTACCATTTCCTGACTTTTATTTAAATCCAATTCAAGAGAGCATACTGCTTCCATCTTTTCATGAAGTTGGACATCAAGTGCTTGACCTTCAGCCAGAGCTTTTTCCAGTTCGAGCGACTTCAACTCCAAATCTTTTTCCACTGCCCTTAATGAAGCTAGCACTTCTTCCACCTCATCTTTTTTATCCTTACTGTTTGAGGCTGATTCTTGCAACAAACTTAAGTCAAATAGTAGACCCTTGAGAATATCATCCTTTCTCAACAACTCCATTTGAAGATACAAAGTTTCAGAATCTAACTGTAAAGCAATATTCTCCACGCATTCAATCTGTTCCAGAAAATTTTGGGACCTATCCATTTCATTAACTATATTCTGAAACTTACATTCCACCTCAGCAATTTTTTCCCGAGCAAAATCAACTATATCGCAGCTTGCTTTATCAACAGTTTCGGCCGACTCAACATTCTTCAATATTTTCAAGTCCAGAGCTCTTACTTCATTTCTCAACAAAATGTTCTCTTCTTTCAAAGTGTTCAGATTGCTAATTTCTCTTTCTAAATCTTTAATCTTGGAGCACAATTCATCTTTGACAATACACTGTGATACTTTGTGGTTTTGGATTTCCACCTTTGCTAGTTTTATGTCTTCTTCTAACTCAGCAATGCAATTCTCAGACATCACAACATTATTTCTCAGCGTCTGGTTCTCGATGACAAGTTCATGCAGTTTCTCATTTTCCTTCTCAAGGCAGCTTATCCTTCCGAGTTCTTCATTTTTCGATTCCAACTCGTTCTGCAACTTTTGGATTTTCTCATAAAGCTTAGAAATGTGACTTGACGAACCTTCTAGAGCAGATTCTTTTTCAAGCAACATCAACTCACCAGAAACAGCTTCTATGCTCTTGAAAACTATATCCTTCTTTAAGTCTTCGAGTACATCGCAAGCACTGATGCAAGCATTCACCAAATCTGCTTTCTGGACAGACAACTGCCTTGATTCAGTCCACAAAATCAACAGCTCAAACTCCTTCGCATGTAATTCCAGCATGAAACTCTCCTCCTGATGCTGGAGCAATTCATCTTTCTCCTTCAGTAACCTTTCGTGTACCATAATAGACTCTGTCGTGCTTTTATTACAAAAGTCAAGCTCCTTCATGATCACAGCCAATTCACATCCCATATCATTCGACCTCTGTAGCATCATCTCTTCTTGAAACTGTAGATTTTGAATTTTCTTCTCAAAGGAGGCGAGCTTAAGTGTTACCTCCCCATTTTCATCTACTTTGCTCGATATGCGGTTAAAGCCTTTCCTGATATCTACCAGCAACTTCCCCTTAAGTTCCCTGCACAACTCAAGCTCTTTTCTTGTTTTCAAATTATGCTCCCGAAGTTCAGAAACAATGGAGTTTGACTCGCAAAGGCCGTGTTCGAGAAGACCATTTTCTGCATTTAGACCGTTTGCAGTTTCCAAGAGAATCCCCATGTGACATAAATGCAAAACGGACACGGCACAGTCCTTGACAATAATATCAGACCAGACATCTTCGAGCATTGTCCTAATTGACACTGTAAATTCATGAAATTGAGATTTCATGTTGAGGATATAACGTGAGACAGGCATCCATTCTTTTGAGTAAGAGTTTTTCATCCCGGTGATAACATCCTCTAGTTCTGACAGCATCGTCTTCATGATGTCAAAATCTGTACTGTACTGTTTTTCCAAGTTTCCACACTTCATGTCTTTCAGGGAGTTAGAGAGTTTTAAACTTTCAACCTCTTTCAAGAGATCATTTTCATTGAACTTCAGTTCATGAGTGTTGAGCTTCAAGGCCTCGTTAGCTATCATCAACTCGTTTATCATGATGTCTGCTTCTTTCATTGTATCTTGAACCTCCTCGAATTTCTCGAGAATACAGGAAGCTTCAATGGTTTTCTGGGCAGCAATAACTTTTGCGTCATCAAGTTCATCTTCCAGTAACTGCAAAACCAGGTATAGCAGATGCAAAGTTTAAAAAGAAAAAAAAAATGATAATTAGTTAAAAGAGTTTATGAACAAGCTGTTAATTATACAACAATATAAACAAGACAATCTTTTAAATCTAATAATATAGTACTTTAAAAGTCGTACCTCTCTTTGCTGGAACCAGGAAGTAAAAGACTCCTGTATTATTTCTTCCAATTTCCCTATCTTACCCTCCATAGCATTGATTTTGACCTCAAACTCGCCTCTGAAATTTTCTATAGCATCTCCAAGAATAACTACTTGAGTAACCATTGACTCAATGCTCTTCTGACCACATTTTTCAGATGCTAAAATCTCTTCTTTCTCACAACACAGCCTGTCCACCTCAGCTTGCACTACTTGTAAACCTTTGAGTGAGCATTCTCTCTCTTTCTTCAAGAGTCCAACGACACTATCTCCGCCATTCACGCTCTCCCCAGTTCTTTCAGACTTCAAATAGCCGCCGCCAATATCACACGAGCCTGCATCATCTTCCTCTATTCTTGTACCTGTCTGCAACAACATTAAACTAGTATTCAAATTATTAGATAAAATCAATGACTATAAGCTAAACAGAGAACAATTAGCAAACATACCCTTGATATATTATTATTTACGCATGCCCTTAGAGCCGAGACTCTGGAATTTAGCTCCTTCAGTTTTCCCGTAGTTTCTGAAATATCAATTTCTTCTGCCATCTGCGCATCCTTGTAATTCAAAGCATCCCTATAGTTAGAGTTCAACTCCGACAATCTGTTCACAATCACAAAAGCAGCCGTTGCACAAGAAGATGCATTTCTGAGCTGACATTTTCCATGCTCCAGTAATCTCCTGAGCTCGTCAACAGTTGATTTCATACTATTTAAATCGGAGGTCAAAAGAAGAATCTCTCTATCCTTTTCACTGCACTCCTGTTGATGAGTTTCAGTCATAACCAATGCTGCCCCTCTCAAAGACCTCAGCATGCACTCCATGTCGTCTCTCCTTTCTAATGCATCCTTCAAGCACTGACTAAGCTCTTCAATCGACAACTCCTTTTCATAAATATATTTTCTCATCCTCCCAAATTGCTCAGTAATTAAACTCCTTTTAAAAGGGATTGAACTCGAGATAACGCCAATCTCTTCTGATGCATCTGCAAGAGCCACGTTTCCGTCAGACAGAGTATCTTCAATTTCTGAGGCGATCAAATCCCACTCGGACCTCATCTTTTCCATGTGCTTGGACAATTTTACATTATCTTCATTCTTTAATCGTAAATCATTCTCCATAATTTTCATTTGCGCTTGCAACAACTTTAAGCTCTCCATTGCCTCCATCTCTTTCGTCTTGCTATCATAAACTTCTTGATGAAGACCAGAAAGCTCTTCTTGCAGACAAACTATCACTTCTGCTGTCTCCGCCTCAACCTGCTTACGAACTTCCTCTGCTTCGTTCTCGTGAGTTGCTTGAAACGCAAGATCATTTTTATAAAACTCATTCAGTTTCCTAGCCTTTTCTAGAGATTGATGCATTTTCTTTAACTTTGCTTCTAAAGGTGAATCATCACACTCTGCATGCTTATTATATGTTGAAATATCTCTCGACTCTTGAGATTGAGCTATCCCCTTTAGATTAGATATTTCAAGCTCCTTTTCTTTTAACAATTCTTCGAGGAAGACATTGGAGCTCTTGATATCCTCAATCTCATTCATCAACTGTAGTTGTTGGGACTCCAGTGCTTCAATAACAAGTTTAGCATTCGTAAGCTCTTCTTGAACTCGTTCGTAGTCTTTGGATACAGAAATAACCATTTGTTTCGACAAATGAAGTTCTCTGTTTAAAGATTTTGCAATTGCCTCGGCTTCAGTGTGAGACGACCTCTGTTCATGTAGAATAATTTTAACAATGTCCAGCTCCAGTTGTAAATCCATGATATCTTCTGCATTAACACGATTTGGTTTTGTTCCTTCCTTCTCTCTCTGGGCTGTCATCATTGCCTGATTACTGATGGTTGGAACTTCCACTATTGATTCCTGAAAGCAAGTCATCATGATAGTCATCAATTAAGAGCGTCTTTCAAGTGAACCCTGAAGAGGAAAATAATTGTGGGAATACACAGAGAAAGATACAGGAGTTCCTTGTTATTAAGCAAAACCTGAAGAATAATAATTTCTCTGATTATCTGATGAATAAAATTAGCTGGATGTACCTTTATGACTTCTGCACTGCAATCATTCTCTTGCACGGCAGGCAAGGTGGCACTTACTGATGCTTGCAACTCTTCTAGTTCTCTGCAAAGAATTAGAATGACATTTAATGAAAATATACAAATACAAATAGGAAGATGAAGATTATGCAGAAAAGAAAAAAGAAAACAGACTATTTCTCTTATAAAATCTTACCGTCGGAGCTTAGCATTTTCTTCAAGACAAGAGTTCAGCTTCTCCTTGCTGTCCTCCAGCTCAAAGAGAGTTCTATTCAACTGTTTGAAAATGAAATGCACATTCGAACTTAAATATCACAGAAAAAATTTCAAGACATTAGCTTAACTTCATAAAATGACAGTCTAACCTCCTTATGAAGTAAATCATTTTCACTTTCATCGCCTTTCGGAGCCTGTATAGAAATGAAAAAGTAAGCTGCATGTATCATTTTTCATTTTTTGATGAGAGGGAAAGAAGTTGCACTAAACCACCTTCATATCAAGAAGATTAGGATGCTTTAAATTTCCATCAAGGGAGGAAATAAGCTGATTCCGCAGTTCAGATACTTCAGTCATCAACATTTCCCTCTCCCCTTCTTCATATAAATCCTGAAATCTGTAAGTAAATATTTGTGAGGCCAAGTGACAAAACACCGAAAAAATATAATCAGGCGCACAGCACAAAGGAATATAACGATCTCAAAAACTTACTGCCGAACTTGATCTAAGAGCCTGATATTTTCAAGTGCAAAACGTGTCACTTCAGGATTTTTATCCATTCTCTCTCGCAAAACCTGAATTTCTTCCTGAAGTGCATGGTTTTCTTTCACTAAATAATCATCTGCCGATATCAACTTCCCAAGTACAGACTCCATTCTTTGAATTTTATCTTCTCTAAACTTCAACATCATTTTCGTGCACCTCGTGTCCTCCTCCCTTTGAGTAACCTAAAGATGAGTAATCATAAACTCATCAACCTTATATGAAAGTCAAACATGAAATATTACCATGAAAGGGATACGAAAGAAATACCAGACGGTTCAACTGTTGAATTTCAGCTTGAAGCTGTTGAACTGTGGCATCCGCCATTTGTTCTCTTCGTAAAGCTCCAGCAAGGGTAGTTTCCAAGGATTTTAACTGTAATAAATATGAACCTCACAGTAAAAACAAGAACACGCAAAACCAAGATTTCACTGGTAAAAAACAGATTATTTGAACCAATCCCTGAATGGTAGCACCAGTGTTTGAGAAACTGTATAAATAAACAATGTTGAAGGCAGCACACTTTACCTGCTTACAAGACACTCGGAGAACTCCATGAGTTTCTTGTGCAGGTGACCTTTCATTACAGTCATCATCATCTTTGCTTCTTGTATCTGTGGCAGGTCCAAATAACAATGACCGAGAAACCTTTTCACGCTTGAGGGCAGATAGCTCCTCCTGTGCCAATATGCCAAGATTCAGTCAGTTCTATACTAATTACGATCGAATTTTGTTACAGTAATTAAACGATATGAAACTATTTTGACCTTTAATAACTGTATCTGCCGTTTTAATGCGACGACATCCCCAGATGAGTCTTCATTGATGACAGCCTAGAACAAGTCCCACAGAAATAAAAATTTATGAAATTTTCAATGCAAAGTAAATGAATTTCAGAGGGAGTGGCATATGAAGAAGCTTACGTTGTTCTGAATCAGTTTTGCACGTTGTGCAAACTTTAAGGTGTTATATGTTTCAGCTGCAGAGCTGTAAATGAAGTAATCAGATTTATATTTATGAATGTGTAGAAAAGAAATAAAAGAACAATTATAAGACTACAAGAGGGGCAACAATTGTGTACCAGATAGATGGGCTGACATTAGCTATTATCATTGTTTTTGAGTTCCCTCCGAGAGAGTCCTGTTCCATGTAACCATGAAAGGAGTAACCAAATAACTACATGCACTTGGTAAGAACAACAACAATACAGACGATTACAAATAATAGTGCACCTGAAGGAGAAATGTCAATCTTGAATCTCTGTAGGGAATGTGTCTCGGTTTTCCATTTGCTACATCCACTAAAACCATAATTACATGACTGCAAAGAGGAAAAGCCCTTTCCCAAGTCAATTCAAAATGTAAAGTAGAAAAAGATTAAGGTCAGCAAATACTAAGAGCAATGTCAACAGTACCCTAGTGTTGATAATGATTTATTAATATTTGCAGCTTCTTTAAGACGTTCACCCTCAGCACCAGAAGACTTTTGCCTGTTGGAAATAATAAATAGGCAAATGATGTTTCCATGCAGCAAGAAAATGCTTTTGTATTAGAAAGTTGAGCACAATGCAGTAATACCTCTCAGAACCAGCAAGGTCAACAAGATTCAGCCTTGCAAACCGAAAGTTAGTGGTCGAATCCTTTTCCCACCTACTTTCAATGACACATGTAAAAACGCTGTGCGAACGGCTGCTTTCTCTATTCATATTAGTAGCTGCCACTTTTCTGTTCGAAGAACCCTAAAGCATAAAATCAAGAATTAAAGCAAAATGAAAACCAAAATACTATGTAAAATGCCATCAACAGGATGAATCCAAAAAAAAAAAAAAAAAAAAAATACCTGGGACAAAAGCTGGAGAATGTCTCCTACAGTGTGGACTTCAAATTCCGATAGATTCTCAACATAGACACCCTTTTGCATATCCTCACGCAACTTATTAAATTGAGATAATAAATATTAGATCACTTTTGAACAATACCGAACTTAATTCAACTACAGAAATCCAAATTACCATAAGATTTGTAGATGAAGGATCAAGAAGATCAGTTATTTGCTCATTATAGATCTCAAGGAAAGAGCATTTGCATTTGTATTTCAACCGTTCATCTCTTCGGCTTTCCTCTTCCTGTAAGAGATATGTGTTGCATTAATAATTTGTGACGGGAAGCAACTTTATGGGCATATGTGTTTTGTTAATAACGTGTTGCTTTCATCTCTTTGGCTTTACCGCACTAATTCTTGCAAACAAGAATTCAAATATCCTAGGAGTCATCCCACGGTGTGGACTAGGCTTGACTTCTAATTCGCCCATCTCACCAAGCATTGTATAAGTCTTGCCACTACCAGTCTGCATAGTCAATTCTCAGATGGTAAAGTTTAACATAGGAAAATATATGGAAATGAATAAGCTAATATCTGATTAAGTTATACACGGAAGGCCCTCAGTAATTGAGATAAGAAAGAACTACAAAAGTGAAGTCCACAAGCTTGAAACGATAGAACCAATCTAGAGGTTTGTGATGCATTGTTTAGTGCAGACTACATTATTGGATACCAAGCGAAAATTGGATAAAATTTTCAGTCAATAATTACAACTAAGCAAACAAAATGATATAGACACATCTCTACATCAAAGGGTCCCAATGAAATTGTGTAGCATGAACTTTGGCTCAGGTTTAAACGTAATGAAATTGTGTAGCAAATCAAAATAACATGAACTTTATTCTTCGTATATTTTACAATAACAGATAAAAAAAACCAACATTTCACACGTATAATGTCCTCTTACCTGCCCGTACGCAAACATGCAGCTATTGTACCCAGACAAGCAATTCTCCACCATGGGTAAGCCAACCATCCTAAAAAGTGTCTCCTGAGAAAGCAAAAGCATTAGTCGACCCTCTCTAGCCCCACAGTTCATTGCCTAATCAAACAAGCTATATCCATACCTGATTGATAGTTTCACATGCAACATGATCAAACATGAATCGAGTCTCAGGTTGCTGCCCAATCCACGTGATGCTCTGAGCATTCTCCTGCTTCAAGCATCTATTGTAACCAAAACTGCTCTTCTCCATGTTGTTCAACGGCCGTATCCGAATCAAAACCTAATTAAAAGGGTTAAAAAATAAGAAAACGCCACACGTTAAACTAGCCTAAAATCAAATACAGAAAAAACATATACGGAGAGCATACTTGCACATTGTGTTCCATCCAGAACGATGGATCTTCCTTGAGCTCGAAATAAGGAACCTCAATAGTGTCAACGACCGTGGGCAGGTTACACGAACTTGGTATCCCTCTCGCCAACATGCCATAGTTGGCCATTCGGGACCCCATGTTTGCCGCAGTCCTAGAGCTGCTAGCCAACGCAAAACCCGGGTTTGGGGGCTTGCTCACGCTCTTAGTCGGCGTGCTTTGGGTCGAGTTACACTCCGAATAACTCAAATTAGCCCTAGCAATCCCCCTGGTGGAACTGGGAGTATCCACCACATTCGAAAACAAAACCCTTCCCCCATCCCTAGATTCCAGACCACTATTACCCGATGCATAATCACCCCTCTGATCCCAATTGAACCTGTTTCTCGACGCTAACCCCTGTTTCTCGGGAGTGCGCAGCGTGTCCGGATGCTTAGGTTTTGGCTTAGTAGGCGTCCGGTCGACCCTTTTGCGCTTGTAGCTGCCGAATTCATGCTCCGAGACGGCTCTCGGGATACGCGAGGGTTCTTGGATGGTGTTCAGAGGGGGCCTCGATGGATCTGCGCTCGTCTGAGGGTTCAGATAATCCCTAGGGTTTACCGGCACATTCTCGGCGTCCTCGGAGTTGTTCTTCCCCGAATTCCGGCGCAAGAACTTGAAATCCCTCAACATTCTGCAACACGCGGCGGTGAAACCAAAAAAAAAAAAAAAAACGTGATTGAAACAAATTACTCGATACAGCGAAGATTTACAATTCCTTCAAGGAGGACGGAGATTGAGAGGTTACCTGACGGAGGAAGCGAGGACGAGAGCTCCGGCGACTCGGAATTTTGAAATTTTTCCGTTTTTTTGATCTCCTTTTTTTTTTACTTTTTTGTGTGTCAGTTGAAATCTCGAATCAAAACCATACTGATTGGATTTTTTTCAACTTCTCTTCACAAATTTCGAGATTTCCAAGTTCTTGAACTCCTCTCTCTCTCTCTCTCTCTCTCTCTCTCTCTCTCTCTGTAGAGATTTCAGGCTATGGCACTGAGACACTGACCGTTGGTTATCTGAGTTTCGAGTAAATGGGGATTAAAAGGAAGAAGAAGATAATGGACGGCTGAGATGAGATCTGAGTTTGAAATCGGGGTAGATCGCGCGATTGGCGTTTTGAATGGGATAGGGGTATTTTGGGTAGAATAGGTGAAGAGGATGACAATTTAATAATGCATTAAAACGGCTATATAATAATTTGAATTTTTGAGCTGTGGACCTTTTGGTGACCTATTTTGAAATGCTCCAACTTTAATTGAGGAGTTCAAATTATTATGGATTTTGCATATTAAAGTTATTTATTCGTGTTATTTTTGCTTTTTATGAAATTGTTTTGTTTTGATTATGGTCATACACTTTTCGTGTTCATTTGTGTGTATTTGAAGCAAAAGAGTTTGATGAATTCAAGCTTGATTATTTAATTATTTTTCGAAGTTCGAGTTCGTTCGTATTCAAATAATTTGATACATATTTTTTTAAAAAAATTATTTGATTATCTCGAGATCTCGAGATTGAAAATAAAATGTAATATTTTTGTATATTTTGTATGAAGAAAAATAACATAAATATGAATACAAAATAAAATTATTTCAAATTAATATTGCGAACAATATCGAACGTTCGCGAACGAGCTCATATGATGTACGTTAATTATTAAAGGAGCCTAATTGTTTGTTCGAGCACAATTCGATTAATTTTATGTTCACAAAATAGTTGATCTGTCCAGTCCTAAATCTACCGAATAAGAAAATGAACCAGCTCAAATAATCAAAACAAATGAGCTTGTGTCTAAAATGAACCAGCTCAAATAATCATTTCTTCTCGTGTATATTTATAACTCAATAGGCACTAATTGAGTGATATGTGTGTAATGATAAAATTTACTACCTTTTATTTTTAATATTTGTCGTTTTGAGAAGTTGCACACTAATTAAGAATATTTTTTTTGTCAATATTATCTTATTTAATGAAGATAGAGATGAATGTTTTGAGAAAAAATGAAGAGTGAATATGAAAAGACGTAATGTATTTATTGGCTAAATGAGGGTAATAATAGAAAAATATGTACAAAAGATCTAAAACGATATTTATTTAGCAAATAGCTGATAAAGTTAGAATGACATTTACAAAAAAAATATAAGGGAGTAGTAAATTGTGGAATAATTGATTATGTAAAAAATTTAAACAATGTTATTCGTAAAAGCAAAACAAGTGAAAAGGTGAATAATTTTAAAATATTTGAAATTCTTCTCTCCTTAGAAAACTTGTACTCGACAGATAATGATGAAGTCGCCTTTTGGGCCAACATGTACTATAGTGTATAAGTTTGGAATCACATTTATTGATTAAATAAAGCCCAGCCTATGACTTTAGTGAACAAAGTTGGGCTCATCTTATTGAGAAACCCAAATTATTTCAATTCATAAAGCAAAAAGTCCAATCCAAGCATTTATTGAATTTTCAAATTTTCAGAAATAAAATGAAATAATCCATAGTGATGTAAGTGATGCTCGTATTAAATAAATAAATGGAAAGTAAAAAACCAGCAAATGTTTGGAAGTGTTGATTCGAGCGGTTATCTTTAGTAATGTATACATAAATTCGATTGAGTCATTGGATGTTTTGCTTACGAGTCATCCATAACTTTATCTATTAACACGTATTCAATGTGTATTTATTCGTTCATCTTGATTTATTTCTTTTTTTTTACATGCATTTTTTATTATATTTTTCAAATTAAAATTAATCATTACTACTTACAAAATATACTCTCCACGTATCTGTAATTACTAATTATTATTTTACTATCATAACATAATTAAATATTATTTTTTATAACACATCATTTGCATAAAACTAAAATTGTTAACTCTTCAAGTAAATTTGGACCAATTTAAAATTTTGCATGTACTTAAACAAAACAATTCATTTATGAGCTCAATTCAGCTTATTAGATAGTTAAAGACTCAAACTTCACTTGTTAAAAACTCAAAGTTTAATATTGATAAACGAATCGAGTTTGAGCTTGATAAAAAACTCGATTCAACAAAATGTAGAGACGACGTGTACAAGTAACAAAATCCTCAGCGCAAACCTCATATATTCCTTGTACTGATTTCACTGGATCGGGCTATAGCTTGAGCCAGAATATAAGCCCATCTTGTTTTCAAACCTACAAAATTTATCCGTCAGGCGTGGATTTATATAGTGAATAATCGAACATCATAACATAAAAACATGTTAGTAACTCGAAAACTAGAGAAACTTAATTCAATTCATTCATTTAGGGTCCGTTTGGTTGGCCGGATAGGGCTTGGTATCCTGCCTATTGTTATTATTTCATGCCTATAAAGATGTTTGGTTCGGGCAGTGCAAACCCGTTAAAATGGAATGGCTCGGTTATTTATTGACAACTTTCTGTATAAAGTATCCCACTTATGAGATGATATGTGAAGTTCAACACTATTCTTTATTTAAATTTACAAAAACAACCCTCATTACTTCTTCTCTTTTTTCTTTCGTGAATTTGTGTGAGAGCAAGATAACTCCAACCCGTTGCTTTCTTCATCTTCTTCTACTTTTTTTTTAGTACAGCACCAAGCCTTTGATCTAGTGGAAATTAAGCTTTTCTTTTTCAATTGTATGTGCTGAGATCCCGCTTCATCTTCGAGAAATTGTATGTGCTAGGATCCGCCATTTTCGATTTTTGGAGCTCCGACTTTCTTAATATGTGTATTCATTTCGAAAATTTATTTAAAGGTGAAGGGTATAAAAGCAATTGCATCTTAAAGGATATAATTTCCAACTTTAAACCAACAAGTTAATGTACTAACTAAATAGATGGATAGCCTTTGAAAATCAAAAAGATTATATCAAGCCCAATCGTTTATAGCGGTACTTGGTCAAGTTAGGTAAACAATCCCAATAAATCACTCTAACCATTATACTTATCATACTTTCATAACATAAATGCATAATTTTGTTAGGACTAAGGCCTAACATAGTCTTCATTGTGAGGATAAAACAAAATAGACAAAATGGTACAATGATAATTTTTATCTCCAAATAGATACTTATTTATTCACATATCACAACACATAGTCAATACATCAAACACCTCCCACCATATAAACATAAACATAAGCAAGATTTTACAGGAGCAAATCCCCAAAAGGTGATAACTTTACTACTAATTCTTGAATTGGTGTATCTGAATATTCTCAACGTCAAGTTTCTTGAAGTTACTTAGCTTTCGAGTCGTAAAGAACTTTCCCCAATTGTAAGCCCTGTACTTAGCCGGGCTTTGATCGTTCAGAAGCTCGGCTAGTGGCTCGACCATAGTGTAAAATGCCGGGTTGAAGAAGAAGGGTATGGAGAGCCTCTCTTTCTCTGAATTCACTTTCACTCTGTGCTCCACACTTTCGTATTTATCATTGCTCCAAACCTGAAAACAAGTTGCAAAATGAAGAATTACATTATTAGTATGTTAGGTTGTCATATTTTTTTCAGCAAATATACATATAATTTCATACTCAAATGTTATACTTTAAAATACAGTACAAATAAAAAGTACGTCATTTCATAGTGTTGGTAAGGGAAGGCCACTGCGAGGCAGAACTAAATGAAATATCATACTCCATAGAACAACATTAATAAAAGTATGACACTTTTTACATAAGATGCAATTTTTTTAAAATAAAAATTTTATGGCGAACCAACCGTCTAACGATTAGGTCATTTCATAGAAAAAATTGTCTCCAACAATTAGACCGTCATACTCAATAGGTGTGTACCTTTAAAGTGAAATATCATATTATGAAAAAAACAACATTAACAAAAGTATGACGTTTTATAACATAAAAATGCATTTTAATTTTATTTTTTTAAAACAAAAAACTCGACGGATCGACCAGCCTAAAAATTAGGTCATTTCATAAAAGAATTTTTCTCATAGACCATAGTATAAGGATATGATTATGACCGTCTAAACATGTCTACTAACAACAATAGCATTTGTGTTCTTGCCCGTACAAAATTCTAATTCTCAATCAACCAATATTATAACTCACCTGGATAATGTCACCAACATTGATGATATAGGCATCAGGGGTGGGCTTAACAAGAACCCACTTCCCATCAGACTTCCTCTTCACTTGCAGGCCCCCGACATCGTCTTGGGCCAGTATGGTCAGGGCCCCAGCATCCTTGTGCCGGCCCACACCTGTATTTCTGCTGCATGCTCTTCACAAATCTTCCTGTATATTATTTTAACATGTTAGCTGATTTTTTTTTTATTTTTTTTTTCAAAATTCAACTTGAAATTGGTTGATTTTTTATTTCAGTTCACTTATTAGCTAATTTTACTGGAACTTTTATTATATTACTTAGTTTTCCGGTCATAGTCATACACTATCAACTATAAGCTTGAATTTCACTACGGACTACGTTTGGTATAGCTGATATAAGTTAGCAGATAAGAGAATTTCAAGCTTTTAGATGATAGCTTATTACTTATAACTGGAAAGCTAACTAATATGGTAACATTAGTTGATAACTTAGCTGGAATAAAATCTCAACGTGCTTATTTGAAAAGTTACACAAGAAAACTTATGAGACATTTCGAATTTTTTTTTAAAAAAATTGGTCTTACCAAAAAACCAAACTTTTATGTATAAGACCTATAATCTAACCAAATAAGATATAAGCTAAACAAAGTCTTAAAAATAAAAATTGTAAATTATTTTTCTAAATGCTTTATAAATATGTATTCTATTTTAATTCATACAATACTAGAAATCAAATCTACTAAAACTTGATGAATATAAATTTGTGAATTAACATTAATATATGTAAAATAGGGGTCGTACCGTGTACGTGCTAGTTGCTACGTACTTCAATTACTTAATTTTAACCACAATTATTATAATAAAGACAAAAAGTACCTCATTTTCGGAGGATATTCCGGCCAGTGATTGACCATCTCCTTCAAGCCCTCGTCGCCGGCGACGTGAGTCGCCGGAATCACCGTCGGCACCTGCACCGTGAAGTCGAAAACCTCCTTCCAATCCCTCACGTTCTTCGTGTGCTCCGTATCGTAGTACCCCGTCGGGTTCACCTCGTCCCGGGCCACCCTCCTCTTCTCCTCCTTCGGCAGCGCGAAAAAATCGCGGGCGGACGATTCGATTCGCCGGAGAGAATCCGGCGGTACGCCGTGGTTGACGACCTGGAAGAAGCCCCAATTCTCGCATGCGCCGCCGATCGCGGCGATCAGTTGCCGGAGGGCGGCCGGGTCGGGCTCCGGCGAGCTGAGGGGCGAGAGGTCGATTAGGGGGACGTTGTCCGCCTCGACGGATTCGAGCTCCGGCCGGTGTTCGGGGGCCTGGATGAAGGCGGGATCGACTTCTAATCCCATGGCGGTTTTTTTTCTTTTTTTTTTTTCTTTTTTTATTTTTTGGTCCCTCGGTGTGTGTGAGTGAGGGCCGGGTTATTTATTACTCCCTCTTTTTTAAAATTAAGTATCGTTTTGAGTTTTTTTGATTCATCCATTTTACTATGTATCTAGACATAAAATATGTCTACATATAAAATATGTCTACATATAAAATATGTCTACATATAAAATATGTCTAGATACATAATAAAATGGATGAATCAAAAAAGTCAAAACGACACTTATTTTAAAAAGGAGGTAGTATGATGTTCGAACGGTGGTAAAGGAAATGTTAGGCTGAGATGCTACGGTCCGTTACGGAACCATTCCGTCGGGTTCGTAACCGTTACATTATCATGTACATATCGAGGATAGATAATCTAGCGGTTACAAACCCTGACGAAATGGTTCCGTAACTAGATCGTAGAATTGCGTAATTTATATACTACTTTTCAAAAGCAGTTTGATACATTGAACCTGGACACAGAGGTGAAAATGTCACACATGTCACAGTTTTTTGTACAGGATGGGGACTTGAGGAACAGAACAAATGGTTACGTAATCATATTTTTCCTACTGATTAACAAGTGCATTTTCTTTTATATTATGCCACCAAGTTCATAAAAACTCCAAATTTAAACATGTTTGAGTTGGGGTAATCGTGGATGAGCGACCTCCTGAGAAGTTTTTCGTGCTTGAGTGCTCAAAACGCACTTCGACAAGACTCGTGTGGATACATTGACGAGTATTATTAGGCCTGCAGTGCAACTTCAAGACGTTGCAATAGACATGCATACTTTCAAGTTTAAATGACATATTCTATAAAATATCAAAAAAAAAAAGAATGTCATTGCATAACATATGTATGCATTTTTGTGTAAAAAGTATGGCTTGTCGACTCGGCTAACTGTTAGGCGTCTCACACAATAATTCGTGTTCGCGAGAGTTATGGTTGTTAGCCTTAATTTTATTTTTTCAAGAGCTACATGTTATATAAAAAATATTTTATATAGTAAGGCTATTGTTAGCTAGATACAACGATTAGAAAGTCACATTTCTTCAATATATATATATTAAATTGAAATATCATACTTTAAGAACAAACACAAGCAAAAATATGATATCTTATAAAATACATATACATCTATACTTATATTAAAAGCTATACTATTTACTAAATGTAGTATGTAGAATAGTCAACTCTAATTAATAATTTGCTATTTTTATCAAGCATTTAATTAATGCATCTAATATTTTTGGTATGCAAATCAAATTAGCATTTAATTAGTTCCTAAAATATTGGGTATGCAATATTAATTTAGGAATATCCATGTAGTTCCTAAAATGTTGGTATGCAATACGTAAAAGAAGATTTTTTTTTAAAATATAAAATATTGCAACACGTAAAACTATTCCAATTATTTTTTATTTTATTTTACATATAAAATTTAATCAATATTTAATTCATCCTACAAAATTGGATTTAGTTTAATTATCCATACAATTGGTTGTAACTTTTTCAGTTGTACTTTATTTATTTATTTATTTTACACTTTTAAATTAATGAAGTTCTCCAAAAATACCAAATCAAATAATTTATGAAAGTTTTTTTTTTAACAATTTTAAATCTATATAACCAGCTTAAAAAACTCATCGCATAGATATGGACGAGTTTAAGAAAATTTCATAACCCAGCTTATAAAATTCATCTCCACGAGTAAAAAAAAATCACATCCCTCATCTATCGTAACAACTTTAAAGGTAAATAAATAAAAGTCTAATTACACTATAAATCCATTATCTATATAGTTTTTTTAAAAATCTAAATTTCACCTGTCTAATTACTAATATTTTAGATACTTTTAAATATTATTTGTATAAATTTTTTTACACATTTGCTCTCTCTATATATATACATATATGGAGGTTAAATGAAGAATTTTTAGACATATTTTCCTTACGGGTAGTTTAAAAAAAATTTAGGTAGCTTCAAACATTATTTGTGAATAATATAGAATAATTTAATGCTTTTATAGATGTTATAATATATTTTAAGTATTTTTAATATCTATATATCACACTTAAAAAGAATAATTTGCCAAAATAAAAATATTAAATACACATTGTAAATGTTAATAAAAACATTTTTCATAGTTCATCTTTGATTTTGTCAAAACAAATCTCATAAAATCGGTGAAGTCAAAATTTGTACGTAAAGTCTATCTATACTAAAAAAAGGTAAATTCAAAATTCTTTATCTAATTTCTTCTTTTCCTTATCTAATTCCTTCTTATTATCTAATTGTATAGAAATCTGTTATGATTTTGTTCAATCATCTAATTGTATTTGTATTATATCCCATTAAATCGGTTTAACAAAAAAAATCTCATAATATCCGATAAGTACAAAAAAAAAAAGTACGTAAAATCTTTACTAAATAAAAAGGCTTTATTTATAATCTAATTTATTATCTAATTGTATGAAAAT